TTTGGGAGACGGTCGCCTCTTCTGCCCAAGATAGGGGTAGAAGAAGCGACTGAAATTCTCCTTCAGCCTAAAAAGCTCCTCATTTTTCCTTAAGGGTATGCCGGAGGGCAGGGGCAGGTGTAACTTTTCCTCCATTTCCCTCAAACAACCATTTTAACCACCTATGCCCTGTCTACCTTTTATCAGTTTTTTTGAGAGTCTCCTCTTTTAACTCAATTTCTATTGAAGGGAAGGGGAGTTTGCCACCCCAAAATATGCCTGTTTGGGATATTGATTATTTTAAGCTGGTTATTTTTCAGAAATAAGACTCAGAAACTCTGACCTTCCCCCTAACTGCATAAAAGAATTTAGATAGAGGATCTGCTCCAGGAAGGGTGCTAGTATCATAGGTAACTATAGTTTAATATGAACTTGTGTGTGATAGAAAGGAACCTAGCAAGGCCCATTTGTTCAAAGTCCTCTCTGTGTCTCATTGTTACAGGTGGCCCAGCAAATATTTATTTACCAAACATTTGCTTTCCTATCTCCATGCAAATTGCCTTCCTGCTCTTTGAAGCCCAAACTACTCCCCCTACCCTCCTTTCCTCCTCAGCTCAAGTTGCATATAAGCCTTAACTAGCATCCTTGAGCCTCATATTCTTATGCAACTCTCATATGTACATACATAACAAATTTGGTCATTTTCTCCTATTAACCTGTCTCGTGTTAATTTGGTTATTAGTGCAGCCAGAAGAACATAGAAAGGTAGGAGAAAATTTATTTTTTCCTCCCCCACAGTATTCATTCCCCAACTAACTGTAGGAAGCTTCTACCCCAACAATACTTTATTCAATCAGTGATGGCTGAGGCCACTCCAGACCTCTCATTACTAATCCAATAGCCTGTTTCCATCCCTCATCCTACTTAACCTCTGTGATGCACATGACTGCTATCTACTCCCCTCTTAAAACTTTTTTCTTCTCACTAAGGAGTTTAGTGTGGCAATAAAGGAGAACCATTAAAAAGAACCAGGGGATAATAAAATAATTTGATTTATGGAAGATCAAGCTTGGTGCAGTGTAGAGAAAGGGCTGGTGGGAAGTCACACTGGAGTTAGAGACAACAGTATGCATTTTTGAGTAAAATAGACAAGAATCTGAAACTTAGTTTCTCCACTTGTTAGCTATAAACCCTTGACAAGTTTCTTAACTTCTCTGGGCCCCAATTCCCTTACATGGAAAGTAGAGATAGCAATATTTACATGTCAGGGTTATTCTGAGAATTCAAAGAATCATTTATATGGTATGCTTAGTATAGGGTCAGGCACATGGTAGCAGCTTCATAAATGGTGATTATTGTGAACTTGACTGTGAGTTGCTCAAGGTCAACGAATGGTCTTATTCTATTTTATAGTGGTCCCAAGACCTAGTACTAGAAATGATTTCTAAAGGCCTCAATTTAAATATGTTGGCTACATGAAAGAAAGGCCACCTAAAATCAATACCAAGTTTCATTTTTGTTCAAATCAGGGCTTTGCTGCAATGATCCTTCCAGAATTAAAGGACTTTATCTGACAGGACAACACTCACCTAGTGCAAAGAGGTAAGTGGATGAAAATATGATAAGGAATTTCAATTTTATAAATTCCTATGAAACAAAGCATGTACTGTGCATTCTTCAATGTGATATGGTGAGAAGTAATATTTTTATTCAAACTCACAGTTAATACATTGCATATTTACAAAACAAAATTTAGATGTCCTACTCAACCCTTGTTTGAAATGAATGAAATCTCACCTTTAAGAAGAAAGGCAGAAAGGAGAGTTTAATTCCTCGAGCAGAAGCAATGGGCTGTAATTCTTCTCGTAGCTTAACCAGTTCAACAAGGTCAACCTCATCACAATACCCAAAGTGAGGTATCTTCAGGGCTGCAGACATGGTCTTGACCATTGCTTTCTGAAAGCCTGGAAAACATTAAAAAATTTTTTTAATCTTTTTTTTCCCTATTAAAATAGAAGGCTCCTAATGTTTACTCTCAATTAAACTCTCTCTCTTAGAGCTACCACCTACCTTCATTACATAACTTGAAGGTCACTAATTTCAATGCTGAAGCATTGACTGCAGCACGACACCTAGTGTAAAGTGTAATAATGAAACAGTTAACTGCTTTCAATGCTGTGGTGTAAAACAATTCAAAAGGATGCAAGCTGTGTATTTATTTACTCAATGGGTTTCCTGCAAAATCACTCTTCAGGAAGTTATTATCCTAAGAGTTTATAAATAATAAATCAGAAGTAGTTATTTTGAAAGCTAACTAAAATTAATATTTAAAATAATTTCAGTGAGTCTTCAAACAGAACAATTATTTTTATACAAGTTTATATTCCAAGAAACCTGCTAACATAGTACTCTTCAGAAATTAACAGTATAAATTGACGCTTTTCCTAGAAAAACTTATTTCATCATTAAAGAAATTATATGCTGAATTTGAACTTTCCCTTCAGTAAGAATTACAAACACTTTATTTTATACATGGATCTACTGTGGTAACTTCCCCCCAAATAAATTACACTATTACACTGTTACCTTTTATGGGTTCTGTTCTGTCTTTGCCTGTGAATACCAGGGGTTTTGATATTGGTGTAGGAATAGTCCTGTCTTTTGGTTTGGGTGGAGATGACATAATTTCAGCTTTTGGTGAAGGAGGTAATATAGCTCCTGTCTGCTTTTCCAAATAGTTGAGAATGTCTTCTTTAAGTATTCTGCCATCTTTTCCCGAACCAACAACTTCACTCAGCTTAATCTTAAAAAAAAAAAAAAAAAGACACATTTTAATGCTAAAAATAACACTACCTAAAAACAAATAAATCCATCATTAGGTCTCTAAATGGAATTTAATGAATTGAAAGTAAAAAAATATCTCTTCCCAATAAGTTAGTATAAAGAAGTCACATTTTCATTATCTTAATAGAATGCTATAAGCTATAGCTCCCTTCATAAGTAATCATGTTACTTTTGTACGTACTGTTCATTTGCCCATGCCGTAACAACGCAATATCTACATTGTATATGATCTATTGCTATTTATGACAACTTACATTTTTAAGTAGTCGACTATCTTACATTTCTTGCATAATTCTTATTTGATTTTTTTTTCTATTTTGGGAGACTACACAAGAAGGAGAATTCAGTTTAAAGAAGAGTTAAACATTACAACCAATGCAGACCAATATTTCTCACCTTGGCTACCGGTAAACACGTAATAGTTAAAATCATCATCATACAAAAGCTCTCTCAAAGTAGTTTTTTTAAAAAAATTTTTCTTAGATCAGTACAAAATACTGAAATTAATTTTATTGAGGCATATTTGGAATGTGAGTTCCTCAGCCCAAGTTAAAAGTCAAATAGATAAGATTTATTATTGCTTTCTACAGAATAAACATAGATGATGTAATTCCACTTTCCACTAGACATTCATGATATTTTTTGGAAACATATAGGATCTGGCTTTATTCAATCTCTTTCTATGTTTGGTTACAGAGATAAAACATTCTCACTACATTTAATTCTATTTAAATAAAAAGACACGAAGCTTGGATGATATCCTCACACATAGTGCATATTAGTTAATTTCTTAGGATTAAGTACTGCTTTCGTACTGGTGCTTCTCTAAGGATGACTTCAAAATAATAAAGAACTTTATATGTCAAATATTTATTTTTTAACAAATGAACTCAGAATTTAAACAAATAATTTTTAGGCAATTAGAAATAACTGTAAATGCCATTGATTTTTAATTTTAAACAACTGAATTCATAAATATGCAAATTGCAAAAAAAGAAAAGTGATTTATAATAACACATCCACAATTTAATTTCTAGTAATTATACAAGTATTCTAGTTATTAGACACATCTTTAGGAAGCGCTATAGGAAAGCCAAATTATGTATTTCTACAGGTAGTCATTCTATATAATTAAAGAAAAAATATTGATAAAATGCTTTATAGCTTACAAAGCAATATACAAGGTCATTATCTCATTTGATATCCTTATTATTATTATTATTTCTATTTTCTAATATACTAAATGGTTGTCATATTCGAACACATTTAATAGCTAATAAATTGTCAAGAGTTTATAACATAATTTACTTGAGCATTTCCTTGATTTTCAACACATGTGCTTTCTAATTTTTGGCTTTGAAACACTTGGAAGAATGTACCCTAGATTATTTCCTTGCGAGTTTACCAACAGTAAGATAACTGGCTAAAGGGATATGAACATTTTAATGATTAATAGATATCTCCAAAATGTAATCTTTAGTGGTTTTTTCCCCCACTGTAAGTTAATTATTCCTCTCAAAAACAGACAAACCAAAACACCTCCATTTTAGGGCATAGTGGGAAGAACTCAGGCTTTGGAACCAGACAGATCTGTGTTCAAATCTCCAGTTCAGCTATTTACTTGATTTTAGGCAACTTAATCAACTTCTTTGCGCTTTCTCATCTGCAAAATGAGGGTAATCCAAACCACCTTGCAGGGTTACTATAAGGATTGGAGATAATGTTTGTACAGTGTTTGGCTCCTAAGCTCAAATAACGAAGTCAATAATTGTTGAGGCAGTGTATAATGATGAAGAATACTGGCTTTGGAGTCACAGAGACTCACTTCAGAATTCTGGCTCCACCACAGTGTTAGCTGTGTGACCCTGGACCAGTTACTTGACCTCTCCAAGTTTTGGAAGCCACCTTATCTCAGAGTTGTGAAGATTAAATGAAATATGTAAATATTTATCACCTGGGAGCCTCCCTGCCCTGGAGAGTAAGCAGCAAGGTCTGGCTGATAAGAGAATACAAAAAGCCAGCCTCCTAGCCTCAAAAGTCAGTACAGTTCTAGAGTTATCTCCACCTCTCTGGGATCAGGTCACATCCTAGAGATCGCATCCTTCCCTGGCCCATTTTCCTTCTTTTCCCTTCTCTATGCTCATTCCCAGTACACGTGTTCACTCTTTCAATCAATCAGTCAGTCAATTAGTCAGTCAGTCAGTCAATCAATCAATCAATCAATCAATCAATCACATTTACCCAATCCCTGTCTCAATCTGTGCTTCTGGGGCACCTGATCTAAGATACTAGTATTTACGAGTGCTCCGTGGTAGCCCTGACTGTTATTAGGCTCTAAGAAAGAATAATAAAATCATACCCCTCAATATTAGGAATAAGTTCACAATTTTCTTCTCATTTCTCACGAACACTTTTATGCAACAGACATTTCAGTAACAGACATTTTCATGTTTGCTTTAATCCCAATTTGAGCTATTTCATGATGGGATAGTTGGCTAATTTTTCACAGATACATTTATATACTTTCTATGTGATCTCGCACTTAAATATTAAGAAAACTTACATTGTTTTCCATTGCAAGGCGGCGAACTGCCGGAGTTGCCAGTGTCTTTTGGCCCTTTATCTCTTGGTGTGTGTGTTCATCATGGGACACAGCAGGAGTCTCAACAACATCTTCTTCTGAATCTGGTAACATGGTAAATTTTTACCCTTCGGTTCAGATTATTTTTAAAAAGAAGCTTAGTGGCGTATAATATATAAATTTAAAGTTTCAAAATTCAAAAAGCGTAATTTTAGGCCAATTCAGAATGGAAAAACAAGTGGGTAGATTGTGTGTAGGAGAAAGTACTGGTGTCTGGTATTATTTAATGACTGTTATTACCTGGTGTTTACTTCATTTCTGTTAAAAGCGTACAGCCAGTTACAAGTTAAAAAAATTTTAAAACATGTATTTTTACATGTTTTTAAAATTTTAAAACATGTATTTTAAACACTTTCCTAATAAATTTCTCATTAATAAGTAGCATGAAATAAGAATCAAATGTGAGGTGAATTACATGAATCATGTAAAATCTGTGACAAACTTAAATGCTTCCCCAAGATAATACAGAATTTGAATTTTTTCTTTGCTTTTAATATGGCTTAAGATATACTGTAGAAGATTTTATTTTCATGGCTAATGCTAATTTGGTTATTCTGTTCTGTAACTCTAGAGTACTGATATAAGCAAACTAGGGCTATTACCATGTATTTTTGCAACTAGAAAAAGTTTTTGAGAGCATTTAATTGTCAAAGTCTGACACTAGGAAATCAGTGCCATTTGGTAGAATCTCTGTGAGAATTAGTGACCAAACCATTGAAAATCAATAGGCAACTGAGTTTGCTTTGACATTCAATTCTAAGCAAATAAATATTTCCACTGCTGCAACTGTGGGCAGACAATCTATTCATTCCTCCTCACTAGCCTATGAATTGGTCCAGTGGAGCACTCAAAGTTCTCCTAAGAGTGAGGAAGGGAAGAAAAAAACTTTGTATTGAGCATGAAGGGTGGCAGAATATGCTACCTGAAAATATGACTGGAGGATTTCGGGACATGGCACCCCAAAATATGCCACTTTGTATATGATGAGCTATAGGTACTTCAAAAGAAGGAAATGCAGGGAGAGGCTTTCTCCTCATCTGCTTAAAGACAGATCCTCCTAAAGGAATCAAATATCATAAATCTCCCCAGGAGTTTCATCCACCAGGGAAGACTGACTCTTATCAAAGGAGAGACTAGACAAACTTCGTCAAAGTAACATACCTCCCATGTATTCTTTTAAAGGCCCATTATTTTTCCGAAAAATCATTTACTGTCCCCTAAGAGGTCTACATTCCCCCGCCCCCTTTCCCTATTAAGATAATATTTAAGCCCAAATTCTCAGCCATCTTTTTGAGTTATTCATTTTTCCTTGGGTATCTCTGATGTACACGAGTTATGTATTAATAAACTTGTTTTTCTCTAATTACTGTCTTTATTACAGGGCTCTCAGTTAAGAACTCAGAGGTAGAGGGAAAATTATTTTTTCTCCCCCACAAGCACCTATTATGTATGTCAAATACTGTACTACATACGCAAATATCTTAATCTTCACTCCAACTTTGTAAGATAGGTGTTATTATCCCCATTTTATAGATTTTTTAAAAAGTGAGACTTGAGAGATGAGGGGATTGGCCCCAAGGTCACACACCTAATAAACTGTAAGAGCTGGGATTCGATCCTAGCACTGACTCAGTCTATGCAGTTTCCATTAGTTTCCAGCATATTTTCTTTCTGGTCAAATAAGCTGGAATAAAACTCCTGTAGTTTAAGCAATAATTTTGTTAGAGAAATGTCTGGAGTGACATACACTAATATGTTAAGGGTGGTGATTTCTGAGTAGGAGGAATATGTTTTCATTTTCTTATTTTTGGTTTTCTGCATTTTTTAACTTTCTATAATGCAATATCCTGCTTTTATAATAGAAATTAAAGAAATAATAGAAAAGCTTCAATAAGCTATCTTTCAGCTTTTGGAGGCAGTTTGTCTTGGTGGATAAAGACTCAGGACATCCAAGTTCTAAATTTGGCTGTCAATGCCATTGGGCAAATCATCCTACCTTTCTAGGTTGGGTTTAGTTTCTTCGATCTGTTACACTGGAATATTTACATGTAAGAATAAGTAAAATAATAAGTGTGAAACATTTTATAAATTGCAAAGTGTGATGATGATATTAGTTATTCTAACACTGTACAGACTGCAGAAGAGTCAGCCAGCCACTGAAATTCAGACACCTTCTAGACTTCCGAAATATCTTTATCTCAGTACTTCTAGATAGACAGCTGGCTTAGGGTCGCACCACAGAACTTATGCTTCCCTGGCCCCTGATATCAAAGCTGTCTCCTAGATGTCATAACTTTGGTGTATCACAACAAGGCCTTAAGGACATTCTGCAGTAGAGACCCAGCTGTTTGCTACCACTGGAACAGCCCACTGTTTTAGTTTTTCTCTGTAACTTTCTCATAATGGATTCTCCTTTTGTTGAGACATGTACTGCTTGTAAGTTCCAAGGTCACTGCTTCTTCTGAATGCTAGTTTCTTCACTTTTCATTTTTATTTTCCTTCTTTTCTCTTCTCTTCCGGTTTGGTTTTCATAAGCATTACCAAAAGTGCTTTTTTATTTTCATATCAGTGGCAAACAGAACAATCCCACTTTGTTAGATTTAATATTTGCATACCACAACTTTTAATGTTAGTAACCAGTGTTCAAGGCCCGAATCTTTCATTCCTGAGAGAGCTTGTTGCTTCTTTGAACACTAAGGTTTCCAGAAGCCTCCAGATAATTATTTCTGTACATGTTTATAAGATGTTAACCGGTCAAAAGATAATCATGCATCACAAAGGACTGTTTCTATTTTTCTGATTTCACCTCCTAAACACCCAAATTAAATCCTTTATTAAAAGTATATGTCGCTTTTAGTTGGTACCCAATGACAAAAGGATAGCAGTAATCAATTGGCAAAATAGATGAATACATTTACAGTACCTTTAAAAGCTTCTGTTTCTATGTCTACTAATGGCTTCCCCACATAGGCAATATCGTCTAGATTATAATACAGTTTTTTAATGACTCCATCATAACGACTGGTGATAGTAACAGAAGCTTTATCACTTTGAACTTCACAGATGCTATCAAACTGAGACACTGTATCTCCTTCTTTTACATACCTAAAAGACAAACGCCACACTGAATTAGATCAGTATCCATCTAGCCCAGCATTTTAGTCCCAGATGGTGCACCGAAGAATGTTCCAGAAAAGACTATGACATCCAGAATCTCTTTGATGTATCTCCAAGAAATACTAAAATTTAAAAAACCATTCATCGCTCTGTAATCTAAAACTTTAATTAAACTTCCGAGTTTTCTGCCCCACCCATTCCTTGGAATTCTAAAAATGTATTTTAAATGTGTTTTTCCTCCCTTTATTGCTTAATTAGCCTTTATCAAACTTTAAGGGATACCTATTATTTCTACAATTACATTTAAAAATCGATATCCCCAATACACATCCTTTGTAATTTCATAAATTTTGGGTTGAGTTTTCTCAGTCTTTTTTTCTAGAACTATTTTAACCTATCCTTGTATATCAGTGTCTTTATCCTCACAATCATTTAGGTATGCTTTACAAGGCTCTTTTAAATATTCTTAGCATAGCAAACAGAACAGGAGGAATGGGACCAAACCTGAAATACCATATATAATTTGGATTCTAACATCATTCTTGATGTATCTAGCACATTTCTGATTTATTATCATCAATTCTTCGTTAAGATAATTGTTCAGTCATTCTTATTCCTTGTCTTCTTGTACTCACTAGTTCTCAGTCCATAATAACACATGACCCAAGACATGGAAACTAGGTTTAAAAGCACATATATGAACTTTCACTTCCAGAATGGTGGATTAAGTCCTTCCGGAATTTTGCTTCTCCACAAAAGCAACAAGTACACTGACAAAAGTCATTTTTTAAAGGTCAATTTCTTTTTTAGCTGAAATGAGGGGTGAGGAGTGAAAGGAGTTTTTAAAAAGAGGAAGAAAATAATCCTTAATAAATTACATCAAATAAAATGCCATGAAGTATGATGAATCCTGTCACCAGCATTTCGGCAACACAAACTAGTTTTACCTTATTGCTTTAAAAAAAGCAGTGTATGTTATAGAAAGAAGTTTCTTAATTTAAATATTCCTACTTATTTTTACTCTATTTTAATAATTACTTAATTTTTTTTTTCAGAATAACTTACCATTCTTTAACAGTTACTTCTCTAATCCCTTCTCCAATGTCTGAGAGCTTGAATTGAACAATCTGTCCTTGTAGAGCTTCAAAGACAATGAGAAATAATCTCATTAAATATGTAATGTATTTCCAAGAGATGTTTTTACTTCTAAAATTAGAAAATTTTCTCAAGCAGAAGCAGAAATGATTCTATTGTATACTAATGGAATTAGTATTAAAAAGCATAACCATCATTAATAATCATCAAAGATTTAAATAAATTAAGCAGTGACACAGACCCACTGACACTGCCACAGAACTTATATTTTCCAACTTCCAAAAGAGTTTTCTTTTACAAGGGTGTAGAAGATCCTTCTGACAAATGAGATTTTGAAACAATAGCAAGGAACAGAATATAGAACATGATATTGTACTAAGGGAGACCCCACTGGATCTCCTTGTCTTATGTTATGAAACTGTAATAACCATAAGGGGCTGCTTTTTGATCTCTTTTGACTTCATACAACTATTCTCATGTGCCCAAACTATGTTCTGCTAATTTAACATGAAATTTTAGTCTTCTTTCCTCTTTCCATTTATTACTCCTTTTTGAATTTCTACCCTCTTATAACACTTGAATGCCAGTGATACTTTATGGTAATTATTTCCCAGAAAAGAAGTATTTCTGGTCAACAGAAAGCATATATGGATCCTCTCGCTTTTCCAGGTTGACAAATGGCTGTGAATTGATTCGAGAGTGCTCCTCTATTTTTAGACTGCTAGTAATCAAAATTGCTCATAAAACACACAACAAGCTGATTACAGTAGTAAAAATTTTTAAAATAAATGGGGAGGTAAGTTAGTAGTAAAGAAATACAAACTATATTTTTGATATGGAGGTCTTAGGTACCTCTTGTTTCCTCTCTAGTAAGCTGGATCCTCTTATAGCCTGCTGCTCATTGTATAAACTGGAACCCTTCTGAAAAATAGTTTGGGCATAAGTATCAAAAGTCTTTTTTTAAAAAATTAAAATTGTTGGGGTGACACTGGTTAATCAAATCAAATAAGTTTCAAGTGTACAATTCAACAATATGTCATATGTATATTGCATTATGTGTTTACCACTCAAAGTTAAATTTCCTTCCGTCACCAAATACTTGACCCCCTTTACCCCTATGTACCTCCTCAAAAGACTTTTTAAAAGGTCTATATGTTTAACTCAGCAAGTAATTCTAGTTTTAAGACTTTTTTGCCTGAGGAAATAGAGAAGTACACAAAGATTTGTACTTAGTAATAGAATAGTTGTCATAAGAGTTATAATGAAGAACTGGAAACCAAACTAAGTAAACAAAAACAAGTTAAAACATTATGACACCTCTATACACAGCAATATTACGCAAGGAACAGCATGTGTAAGAACATAAAAATGTGACAGTGTATAAAATGATCGGGGAATGACAACAGTTCTATATGCTGAGGACAGGATATATGGCAAAAAATAAGCCCAGATTTATTTGTGCGCCATGCTGAAGTGAGGTGTTTAGAATTTATCCTAAAGGTAATCAGGAACCAGTGGTAAATAAATATGGTCATAAATTCTTTGCAGCTGCTCCAATAAGAGGTAAAGTTTATTTTTCCACTACTTGAATCTATGCTGGCCTGTGACTTGCTCTGACCAATAGAATAGAGCAGAAGTGAAATTGTGTAAATTCTGGAGCCTGGACCTCAAAGGACCTGTAGCTTCTCCCTTCTCTCTTATAATGCTGCTTTGAGATCCCCCTGTAAGGGAGCTGATCTAGTCTAATGGAGAATGAGAAAGGAATGTGGAGGAGAAATGAGATGCCCCACCTGAAAATCAACACTAATCGTTAGACATGTGAGTGAGACCATCTTGGATCTTCCAGCCCAGAGGCTTTTTTTAGCCGAATATAGTCACATTCATGACCCAGGCCAACCCCCAGAATCCCAAGCAATAATAAACTGTAGTCGCTTCAAGCTGCTAGGTTGTGGAAAGGGTTGTTATTCGGCAATAATTAATTGATAGGGAGTCCCATCTGCAATTTCAGATATATAATTTTAGAAAAAAGTTCTCTCTGGCAGGAATGTTATGGGCGGGGTTGGGGAAGAGGTGGCAGAGAAAGCAGTTAGGAGGCTACTGTATGTTAAGAAACTGAAGTATGGAACTTAGTATATTTATATATTTTCAAAGCTATCTTAAAAAGAGAAGAAATATATAAGATGTAAAGTTAACAGATCTTGGTCATCAGGATGGATCCAGGTTTCTAGTTTAACTACTTAAGTTAGTGGATACAGGAAGAGAATGTATCCCAAGCCCGCAGAGCAGTGTCTTGGCATATAGTAGGTGATCAATAAATATTTGTGTTGAATGTATTTAATCTCATAACAATACAATGGGGTTAGATACTCTGATTACTCTCATCTTCCAGATGATGATACAGAGAAATTAAGTAACTTGCTTAAAGTTACACAACTAGTAATTGGTAGAACAAGAATCCAAAGCTCATGATAACTATTGAGACACTGGAGCTTGAATGGCTTCTATTTTCTCCGAGTAAAGATCAATTTTTGAAAATAGAAATCTTTTAAAAAATGGCGAATGTATGTGTATTTTAGGGTGTTGTGGAAGATGATGTGTGAAAGGCCTGGAAGGACTGATTGATCTCAGGGACTGGATAGGCCTGGAATCCTCCTATTTTTCATTGTTTCCACAGACTAAAGCACCAAGTATCTGTCAAAAGGTTAATGATGTAACAAAATTCTAGGGTTCTTTATTAGGGGTCTAAATAGAACATCAGGAAAAAATGTTTTAGTGTCCCTGCAAAATCTAATACTTAAAAGACTTAAGTTCTTTACAAAGGGTAGAAAGATTTGGGGGAAAGGTAATTACATTGTAAAAACCAGAGAACTATATGTGTAGGAGCACCTCAGCTGGTTTCATCATACCATCTTAACAGGACAGATTAAGTGCCTCATTTAACAGATAATACAGTGACTACAAAGACATAAACTGTTAAGTCAACAATTTACTCTAAGAAAGCCATACCAATGCTGGCTATTGCACTTAGATAAGTCAGATGATACAGGACAGATGGCCCAAGACAACCTATTCCCAACATTATGAAGACATAGGTATTAAGGGAAAAGTGTGTGAAAGAGGAGTGGAGTGGAGATGGGGCAGAAAAAAAATAAGAAAATAAGCAAGGAGGGCCAGGCTAGAAAAAAAAAGGTCAACCTTTTTTACTTTGATAAGTCTCTAGTAACTTAAAAAAAAAAAGAGGTACTCAGTAAGATACAAAACATTATTTTGTGCAGGCTGTTTTGAGATCATACTCACCAGCAGTTGTTTTCAGCAACCGATGTGGATGGCTATATTTGAATGAAGGATAACCAAAGAAACACACATATTTTGGCTTCAAAACATGAATATTACTACATGTTTCAAAGTAGTGAACACAAATCTAGAGATAAGGAAAAAAAAAAGCTTTTATAAATGATCTTAATGGCTCATGTATGTAAATATATATTGAATTTCAAATCTATTCTAAAAATAGAACAATCATTATCACAATTTAAACAATATCAGAACACTTGGCATTGCTGACAGTTAAGTTCATGAAGATAGGTTTTCTTAAGTATTTTTGTTCAAGAAATCAAAAGAACTCAAACCCTAGCACAAAGGACATTTCGTTGCTTTCGTTTAGTAAAATTATACTCTTAGAGTTAGATATGTTTATATGCTTATGATCTTTGCCTAAAATTCCTTATGAAAGATGTTTTAGTATTCTCTATATAAATACATGGGCTTGTAGGTGCACTTGCATTATTAGAGAGTTCCTGAAATAAAACTACTAAAGAATTCAAAAGTGACATCACCTAAAGACACTGGAAAATATGCAGCATTGTACTGTAAAAAATATTACAAACAGAGTCACTTTAAAATGGAGTCAGAGTTGCTATCCCAGAGGAACTGCCTCGCACATCTCAGGCTTACTCTTCAAGCCTTTGGAATGTCAAAAGTGGGCAAAATAACCTTTGGACTGGGCCTACAGTAGCACTGCTTTCCAAACAACCGTTTGCAAAGAAAACAGGAAAGCAGACAGAACTACCTGATTAAAAATTAAAGACATTCTTTAGAAGAAGCATCAATAAATTAGCTTATCTGCACCTATAGAAATTCTTTTTTTTCTATTCATGTAATTATTCCCCTTTCCTTTCTCATAAATACCCCTTGCCTTTACTTCCTAATAGGGCCACTACATGGGTTTCTGCCTGAATCAGTGCTTGCAGAATTGCAGTTCTTTTTAGATTTCAAATAAATGCCTGTTGCCTCTCATTTTGCCTTTAGGTTAACAGTACCTAAAGTTTTTCTTATCATAATTTACAGGTGATTCTTTAGACTTAACTATTTTACATAACATCTTAATATAAAAAAAGAAGAGTAGGCCTGAAGGTATTCACCTTGATATATCAAAACCTAAGTTTCTGAAAGATAGACTATTATATTTTGAAAGTTAACATTTCAGTGTTATTAATACCTAATGAACTACATCACTTGTAGTTTATACTTTAGTGGCGATTAGCCCTTAAAATTTAAAAGTTATACATATTATGTATTTATTATAGTTATGCTGTGTAATACATATTTATAAATGAGTTGTTTTTCTTATAGTGAATAATAAAAATTTGATTTACTCACAGAAATAATAAATTTAAATTCTTACATGATTTTTCACTTTAATTTCCAAGCTGTTACTAGTTTCTGTAGGCAAAGAAAAACTAAAGATTCCTTTCCTAAAACACGAATAATTTTAAATCATACATCTCAGCTTTACTTTAAGAGCTTATTCGAAAACAACTTAATCTTTCTAATATCTACATTTTATTCATATTAATATTAACATTCAGTCTAGTAATATAAAGCCTTTAAGACTGACAGCTTAAAACTTAGAGAAATTTTAGCAACCTTCTTGTGACTATGAGGTAAAGGCCAAATGACAACCCTGATAATGATAAGTCACTTAATCAATGCTGGCTGCCATCTACCTTTGGGATGCTTTCTATGCACAAATTCTGAATTTCCTATTTATTGGTTGGGTTTTATTGCTTGCAGCTGAAAAATGCCTAACATACATGCAACTGGAGATTTCCAGGACAGTGGGCTATATGAGTCTGGAGGGGAGTTGCCTGGTAGACTGGGGAACTTCAGGAAGCATCAGCTATAGATGGCAAATTAACAATGGATGAGATAATCCAGGAAGTGCAAGAAGTGCAGAGGGCCAAAGTCAGAACCCTTAGAAACACCAATATTTAAAAGTTGGATAGGGAAATAAAAGGAGATTGAGACCAAGTGCCCAAAGATGTAGGAAGAATTTCAGGAAGCTGGTATCACGGAAGCCAAGGATGGAGAGCTCTCAAAAGAAGGGACGTCTATACCTAGTAAGGTGCTGCTGAGAAGACCTTTCTTCTGGTTACCTCTTATTTACTCATCTTTCACAAATCTCAAGTATCCTCTGGGAACTCCTCTCTGACCCCCCAAATCCCTCCTATGTGTTTCTGTAGCTGTAGGCACTGTCCCTACATAGCACTTCTCATGCTGTGCTGTAACTGCTTGTTAAATGTCTATATCTCTCTCCCTGTCCTCCACCGCAAGGCTGTAAAAAAATCTCTGAGAGGGCAGGGACGGTGTCCGCCTTATTCATTGTGCATCCTCAATGGCTAGCACAATACCTGGTACTTAGCAGGCCTTTGAAAGCTTTTGTAAGATCAGGAGTCGACCATTGTGGAAAGATCTAAAGAGGGGACCCTGGTAAAAAATAAAAAATAAAATAAAATAAAAAAACCTACTATGCAAATAGGATAAAATACTATGATTACAGTATGTTAATTGGTGCTAAAAGACTGTGTGAAAGGGGAAAAGTGCAGGGGAGATAGTGGTGTGTTGTAGTTCTGGTGAGAAAAAGGTTAGAAAAATACTGGTGCAGACGTAGGAGACAAGTACATGCCCAAGGAATGAAGATTGAACGGCTTTGCTCCTCGGAGGTAAGGACCCGTGGTGTTTGTTATGCTTTGTTCGAAAGGTCTCTTTCTCTAGACTTAAGTTCCTTGAGGGCGGGGGTCGTATTATCAATGCCTGGCACAAAGTGGGTGATGAACAAAGGTGATGAATAAATGCTGAATGAATATGTATCTCCCTATCTCCAATGCCTAGTCCACTGCTTAGCACCCAGATGGTGCTCAATGAAAGGCTAGGGGGCCAAAGGCTAGCTGAGCCTCGGGGTGTAGACGGAATGGGAGGGCAACTGAGTAACGAAAGAAGCGCGTGCAGGTAAGGGGGTGAGGAGGTGGAGAGTGGGTCTCCAGACCAGTCGGCTCGCCACTTTCTCTGCCTTTCATTTTGCACATATCCCTCCACCTCTCCATCACGCGTGGCACTCGGAGGACAAAATAACACACCTCTCTCAGATGACTGCGGGCAAATCACTCCTCCCCTCCCTCAGATTTGCCCAAACCTGCTTACCAGCCTTCCCGCACGCCGGCTCCAGGTCCTCAGTACGCGAACTGCGGCCATCTTACTCCGGAAATGACAACTCTCTGTGTTTGGAAGAGTTGCCTTTGCCCGGCGACCTATTGGGAGCCGGGAAGCGCACCTCCCCCTGAGCGGCCAATGGAGAGCGAAGCAGCGAGCCTCCCACCCGTCAGCCAATCAGGGGGTGGGGCGGGGCAGGAGAGACACGCGGATGCGGGGAAGACCTCGCTGGAAATGAAAAAAGCATCTGGAGAAAAAAAAAAAAAGAGAGCCGCCCAAATTTAGTTGCATGGATTGTGTTGGACAAGACAATGCTGTGTAAGTACATGTGCACCAACGATCATCTTTGTAATAGGGGGAAACAGAATGTTAAGGGAATGCAAAGGAAGGGCCCTTACTGGAGAAAGTTATGTGAAGACCTGAGGGATGTGTAGGAAAACATATCCTTTCTTCAGCTTGTATTGTAAGTGCCTTGATTACAGAAAATGGGACATTTCTTATACTTTGTAGCAAAGCTCTGTACCACTAGGTGAGTCACAAGTATATGCTGAAATATTTCCCAATGACTGGCATTTCTTATTCCCATCGAGTGTTCTTGACTACTGGAACTGTCTTTTCCATTTTTAAAAAATGGATGAACAAGGTTTCCTTTATGTCTAAAATAAATGTTATCAACAATATCCTTAGAGAATATTGTCAGATGCAGCTGCCCAGCATATGCAGTGTATGTCAGATATAAATTTGATTTATTTGCCTCTTGGAGAAATGTCAAATTTAGAACTAATAAAGATCAGAGCTTTCATAGTCAATCTTCCTTGAAATAATTAGGAAACCATTTTCTAGAAATGTTCTGGATGACAATTGTCTGTTCTCGCCTCTTGCACGGGAATGAAAATCTTACGTGAGAATGTCTAATTAGAGAAAAAAAATACTGAAACAATGACAAATAAATCCTGAACACTGAATCTTAGTGGCTGTGAAACTAAATTTCAAGTATTTCACAAATTCACTAATATTATCCCAAATCACTTTTTTTTTGCCTTATTTGCCTTTCAGTGTATTTCATACACACTACTGTAAGCAATAAATCTAAATCACCTTTATAAGAAAATCTGAGATAGTCAATTTTTTAACTTTCCCACTAACAAAACATTTTATAGGCACTATTAATATAGTTGATAATACCCCATGCATGTGTTTATATAAAAAGATGAAGTTGTGCCTTTGAAGTGAATTATTTTTCTTTCCAGGGTCCCTATACCACCTTCTTCCTCTTAACTTTCCTTTAAGTCTACCTTCTCCTGAGAAAATATCTTTTCTTTTACCCTCTTTTTTTCTTAATGGATTACTGCTTCCAGAGTTAGTACTATATGTTTCCTTATCTTTCCTTCCCAAATCAAGAGATAAGCCAGTATTCTCTAATTAATCCTTTCACTCAAAAGAAATAAGAACTCATTTCTTCTCTTCTTTGAATTAATAAAAATGACTGATTACAACCCAGGGATTCCACTCCTAGCTGTCTACTCAAAAGAAATGAAAACATACGTCCACACAAAGACTAGTTAGTACAAGAATGATTGTAACAGCATTGTTCATAATAGGCCAAATGTCCTTCGACAAGTGAATGGATAAACAAAATGTGGTACATCCATGTAATGGACTTTTATTCATCCTTAACAATGACTGAAGTACCGATGCATGCTTTAACATGGATGAACTTCAAATTTTTATACTAAGAAGCCAGATCTAAAAGGTCATATCGCACGATTTCATTTATATGAAATGTCCAGAGAAGACAAATCTACCAAGACAGGAAAGCAGATTAGTGGTTACCTGGGGCTGGAATGGGAATGGGGAGTGACAGCAGAGGGGCAAGAGAAAGCTTTTTGTGGTGATGGAAAATTCCTATAACCGGATTGTGGTGATGATTGCATAACTGTGAATTTACTAAAAATCATTGAATTGTACACTTGAAACAGGTGAACTTTATGAGATGTAAACTTCAATAAAGCTGTTAAAATTGTTATATTGTATACATACAAAAGAATAATGTGACATAGATAAGTCACGTAATAACAAAAACCTGAACCTACTGTTGTAGCAGCCAGCCCCCGATAGACACATGGACCACCAGAAACCAGTGAGTTATAGGAAGCACACTCTTTATTCAGCCAGCTGGGTCTGCCAGGGGTACACAGACCCCAAATTAAGCAGCCCCAAAATGTAGAGGTACAGAGTTTTTAAGCCCTAAATCCCATTCCTCATTCTGTCTTAAACACAAAGGTCTATTTTTCTCCTATTCACTACCTGCCAACCCACAGGCCAGGTGTGCAAGCGGGGGTACAGAAGCAGAAAGCTTATTGTTAGAATGTTATGTTCCCATGGGTGACAGCCTATGTTCCCATGGGCGATAGCCAAGCAGTAATTTTCCAGCCAGCACACTACCACCCAGTTTAAGAAACAGAACCTTTCCTCTGCTGGTGCAGATCACTCTCTGCTCCTCTTAACCCTCCCTCTTCTCCTGAGATAACCATTATCCTAAAGAGTGTATTTATCATTCCTTTGTTTCCCTTAGAATTTACTATATACATGGATCGCTAACAATATATTGCTTATTTTGTTCATTTTTGAGTCTTATAAAAATGTCTTTTACCACATAAAAATGGTACCAAATTGTAGGTATCTTTCTGCAATTAGTTTTTGTGACAATACTACAATTTATTTATCCGTTCTCTACTTAGTGAACATTTGTGTTGTTTCCAGCTCTTTGATATTACCATCAGTGCTGCTGTGAATTATCTTGGTGCCTGTGCAAGTTTCTTTAGGGCAGTACTTTTCAGACTGTCATGAGCATTCATATCAGCTGGGGATCTTTTTAAAATGCAGTTTCCAATTCAGTCGATCAGGGTGAGGCCTGAGATTCTTCATTTCTACCAAATTCTAGGTGATACAGATGTTATGGTTTAACCAGATCACACTTTGATTAGTAAGGTAAGAATATATACCTAAAAATAGAATTGTTGAGACATGAGTATATTTATTTTTAAACAAGATAATGAGGAACTGCCAGGCTACTTACAAAAGTACCTACACCATTTCGTATGGGTCTCAAGATAAAAAGAGGTGACAAGATGACAATACACGCACCCACGCGCGCGCGTCTACGAGAGGCCCGCGACTATCAATACACCCAAGGCATGCACATTTCAAAGGGTAGGCTGCAGAGAAGGCAAACCCGACCTGTAGAAGGAGGTCAGTGCACTGCAATGTCTGGACCTTTTACATCTTCAGCTCTAAGAGTCTCCAGCTATGGTATGGGTACCACGGCATCCTCGAAAAAAGACAAATAAATACAGATGTTTGTGCAAGCCGGCGAGACAACTGGAGATTCTGGTTAGAGTTGAAGCGTAGGCTTTCTGCAATCTGCGGGTTTCGCTGTGTTCAGTGCACAAGTCTTCAAGGGACACGTTTCCTAACGCGCTCCAAGACACCTCTCCTACCGCCACCGCATCTCCAGGGACAGCTCGGGATTTGCTGGGATTTTGCCCGCACCGCCTCTTTCAGCACCGCGTGATGCGCATGCGCACTGGCTGCCGGTTCGCGCGAACCCGGTTTCCGCCGCAGGGCGGTGTTGTTGGCTCCCGCAAAATCCTGTTTTCCCGAGCGGCCGCTGCATCCCCTTCCCGCCAGACCCCCGCGGCCTCGCGCGAGGACTAGGTTTCGGAGCTGCGGGGCAGGAGCCGGCGTCTCTTCCCTGCGCTCGCGCGGAGGCTGTGCCGCTGCGGGCCGGGCCCCAGGGCGCCCGCCATGGCCGGGCAGCGGGTGGAGGTGGACGGCGGGATCATGGAAGGGGTGAGTGCGGGGCCGGAGGCCGAGGGGTGGCGACAGCGGCCCAGGCCGGAGCGAGCGGAGCCTCCCCGTCTGATGTCTTCTCTCTTGTCTCCGCACCCGCACCCTGGCTGCGCAGGGCGGCCAGATCCTGAGGGTCTCCACAGCCCTGAGCTGCCTCTTGGGCCTCCCCGTGCGCGTGCAGAAGATCCGAGCCGGCCGCAGCACGCCTGGCCTGAGGTAAATCGGGGCGCTGGGGAAAAGGATAGGGGTACGCTCCGTGGGGGTGGAGGGGTGGGAGGCCAGGAGGCAGCCTGTAGGGGCGGGGCTTGGGGGCTCAGGAACCCGGACAGTGATGCTGACAAGATCCCGGCGCCAAAGTGGAGGAATATGAACCCCGGCGCGGTTCCCGGGGTGCAGTGCTCCAACCTGGGCTGTCCGCCCGAGCCTCATTTGTGCGGTCTTGAAATCCTCCAGGGGCAAGTTAGAAAATAGGCCCAGGTTTTCTCTGGCTACAATTGCCTCGTTTCTTAAAGATTTATCTTTTTAAAACGCGCCCCCACTTCATCGGGCATTCCAAGTACCCAGAGAACTCGTAGCAGCGGGCAAGATAGCACACTACCAGGGCAGATCAGCTTCTACAGCCAGAGAAAACCCAACTTTTCAACCAGTGCATTCTCTGACGCCGCACATTTTAGATAGAACAGGAAAGGACACTAAGATGTGTTAGTCCAGCTTTCATGCAGATCTCTAGGAAGCTGTGTATATGCCCAGAATTATCGGTTGTAGAGAGGGAAAAACGTTGATCGACACTTGACTTTTCATGTTTCTTTCTGGGAAGCTAGCCATGCTACTAGGTAAGTTTCAGGTACATGCGCCTCTTAAAAGAAGACCCACTTTGAAGCCAAACTGATCCCTTTGTATTTTGTATTATTCTATTGTAATGGATCAGCTATCTCTTAGCTTTTTATCCACAATCCATTTTGAAATGATTAAAAGGCAATTAGTGATATGTGTGAACATTAATTCCCTTTGCCACAGTCGTTTACAGTAATCTATTTCACCAGTAGTGAAATCCAGTTCATTAAGGCTGTGTTGATACTTTATTAGTTTACTAGAGCTGTCATAATAAAATACCAGATTGGGTGGCCTAAACAAGAGAAATTATTTTCTCACAGTTCTGAAGGCTGGAAGTCCAAGATCAAGATGCTGGCGGGGTTGGTTTCCTCTGAGGGCCATATGGAAAGATTCTGTTCCAGGCCTCGCGCCCTCTCGCGCCCTGTCGCGCCCTCTTGCACCCTCTCACCGCCTCGCCCCGCCTCGCCCCCTCGCCTGCAGGTGGCCACCCTTTTGCTGCCTCTTCACATGGCATTGCTCTGTGCATGCATATCCCCCAACTCTGTATGTCCTAATCTCTTTTTATAGGGACACCAGTGAGAATGGATTAGGGCTCACCCTAACCAACTTTTTTAACTTAATCACCTCTTTTAAGGCCCTACCTCCAAGTAATTACATTCTGAGATACTGGGGTTTAGGGCTTCAACAAATGAATTTTGGGGGAACACAGTTCAGCCATAACAGGTACCATAGATTATTTAGTAAAGTGCAAATGAGACCGGTGGCACTTAGGTAGCCTGATTAGTTTTCCTCTTTTGCACACTTCTAATTTACAACAATATATTAGTGTATATGTTTATAGCTAAATTAACTGGAACCTTTAAAATGGAACCTTTAAAATGATGCCTACTAGCAGGTCGTCTAGGTGCATAAAACCCAAAAGGAAGGTCTGACACGGAAAAATGGTACTTAGTGTGGTTAGACTTTGCTGTTTTCTTGCCATTGCAGTTTTATAAATGTGTCATAAAGTGTGGGGATATAGGCAGTCTGAATGCACACGTTTTGATGCAGTATTATGACCTGAAGGCCTCAACACTTATCTGGACTGGAAATGATTCGAGATTTATGTGATGGGCAACTGGAGGGGGCAGAAATCGGCTCAACAGAAATCAGGTTTACACCAGAGAAGATCAAAGGTGGAATTCACACAGCAGATACCAAGACTGCAGGGTATGTGTCATTTACTTTCCATTTATGTATGGGCTGAGGGGTTAGACCTGGATTCAGATGCGGGTACTACCACTAACTGGGCAGGTGGTTTAATGTCTTTGAGCTTTAGTTTCCTCTCTTTTAAAATGGCAATAAAACACCATTTAGGATTAGTGTACTTCAAGTTTCTAATTGTTTAATGTGTAGTTATTATTATATAGAATTTTCTCGTGTATATAGTTTAATGTATTTGTTTTTTTACTTTTTACTATTAGAAATTGAATATCTGTAAACTACTAAGTTTTCATGCTCTGTAGTCATAGTAGTCTTTGTAGCATATTTAGTTCTTGGCTTGCAGCTAATTATGAACTATAGTCTACTCTTAGTCTAGGTATTTTTGTTTTTTAATAGATACTTATGCAATTCTATTTAGAAAGTTTTAGATGTGATAGTCATTTTTTTCTATTGGAAAATGGGTATTTAACAATTAAATTGAGCCTTGAATGTTTTCCAAGAATCCTTCCTTTTATGGACAAAACATGGAGAGCAGGTTTTTTTTGTGTTTTTTTTTGTTTTGTTTTGTTTTTTACAGAGAATACTTTTATTTATTTTTTTAATTGAAGAAATGATTTAAAAATTTTTCCCCTTCTACCTCCCTCCTCCTGCCTCCTCTTCCCCTCTGGTAACCACTAGTCCATTGTCCATGTCCGTGAGTCTTTGTTTGTCCTGTTCATTTGTTGCTTTTAGGTTTATATCCCACATGTAAGTGATATGATGTGATTTTCAACTTTTTCTGTCTGGCTTATTTTGCTTAATATATTTATTTCAAGGTCCATCCATGTTGTCACAAATGGCAGTATTTCATCTCTTCTTATGGCTGAGTAATATTCCATTGTCTATACGTACCACAGCTTCTTTAGCTAATCATCTATCATAGGACACTGCAGTTGCTTCCATGTCCTGGCCACTGTGAATAATGCTGCTATCAATTTTTTCAGATATTAGTTTTCAAGTCTTTGGGGTAAATACCCAGTAGAGGGATTGCTGAATCATATGGTAGATCAATTCTTAGTTTTTTGAGGAATCTCCATACTGTTTTCTGGAGAGCAATTTTTTGTGTTTTCTGTGTTATTTGGCTGATTGCCATTGTAAGGAGCATCTATTTACCAAAATCCTACCCATTTTCTAGGAAGATTGATAAAATAAGAAATTGTACTGTAAACCTGATGCCAGTTTGTTTCAGAAATGACTATTTTAATAGATTGTGATTTTCAGTTTGAGAAAATGTTTAGTGAGATTTGAGTAATGATGTGAATAGACGTCTATGAAAAGGGACCTGCTGGTAGGCCTCAGGTGAGGTTTGCCAAGTGAGAACTTTCCTAAGGAGATTAAAGAATTTTGAGGTATCTTTATAGTCAGCATATTATTTCAGGCATTCTCCTGGACAAAAAGTTGAAAAAAGTTATAGTTAACCAAATCTCTAAAAATTAACTGAAACAGAATCATAGAATTTCGAAGCTGCAGAGGGAAAATAGAAACCATTTTTCCAACCTTTCCTCCACTTTGTGAATTAGAGACTGAAGGCCTTCTGGTGTTAAGGTCAGAACTAGAATTAGAATTAGAATCTAGGTCTTCTGGCTTCTAATTCACTAGAATGTTTGGGAAATGAGTTTAAAGTTGATAATCCAGCTCCATTCAGAGAACTAAAATAAATGTGTTCCTAGCAAGAAAACACATCTTATGCACATCCTAACATTTTTATCCCTAATTGTGATTACAGGACCATGTGTTTTCTCAAGTGTATTTTTGTTTTTGTAATTCCTTACTCTACTAAAATTTAGATTTTCTTTCTAGTCTTAGAATCTGATTTTATTGGGGTGAGGAGGAAAGAACTGCTTTATATGTTGGGTTCTTAAGAGGGAATAAACAGAAGTTCAATAGTTATAAAACTATGGTTTGTAGTAAACAAAACGTTTCCAAGCCTTTTTTACTTGCTCCTAGGCTCAACTCCTGGAGAAGGGGAATTATATTGTACATATTTTCTTATAATGTCTAACACATTACACAGTCAATAAACATTCACTAAATTAATGAAATGCATGATCAGTGATAATAGAGACTGTCTAGTTCGGTATGCATGCATCGCTGCCATAAGAAAGTTAAGTAAAGGTCTATCTTTTGGTATGTAGAGGCTCTGTTGAACTCCCTTTCAAACTACAATCTAAGGACGTGGTTCCATAGTGTAGCGATTAGCACGTCTGCTTTACACGCAGAAAGTCCTGGGTTCCCACCCCAGTGGAGCCACTGTCTATGGTCTACGGCCATACCCTGAACAAGCCTGATGTCTGATCTCGGAAGCTAAGCAGAGTCGGGCCTGGTTAGTACTTGGAAGGGAGACCACCTAGGAAGACCAGGTGCTGTAGGCCAAAAAAAAAACTACAATGCACATGTGAATATGATTGCTTTCCCTTGACTTTAGAAAAGGAAAATAAGAGCTCAATTAAGAAATCTGACCAAATGTTTCCTTTTATAAAATACTTCGTATTTTATAGGTATCTCTCATGTTTTCTCACATTATTTGATTGTAAGGACCAAACAGGTGAGTTAAAGCAAGGGTTATTTCCCTAAAACTTTTTCCGTGTAAAATAATCAGCTATTGGTATTTGTAAAATATTATTCTAACTTATCATGAACTCCATGATGGTAGGAACTATATGTCAGCTTGATATCTGAAACAGAGCTTAGTGCATGGTAGACATTCCAATATAATCATTTGATTATTTCTAGAGCTTGACTGTTTTGAATGCATTTTTATAAACTGCTTTCAAGAATCCTTTTTATAAAAATGTTGTAAAAATGGTTTTATTTTTAATTTGTTTTTACTTCTTTGTAATATAGAGAAGAAAAAGTGTTAGATCTTACCTAAGGTCACAGAGCTATTGTGTTTAGTATTGATTCAAACTCAGATTTGCTTATCAAAGCTGGTTCCTTCTATTGTGAAATACGGTCTTTCTTTAAGATTCAAGATTTTATGATTTAGTTACTAAAGTGTTTTTTTAACTTTGAAGTGTTTTTTAAACTTGAGGGCAGGTACCTGCCTCCCCAGCTGTCTATGCTTCGGCTAATGGTGATGTGTAGTAATATCACTTTCTTGAGACTTGAAAAAGAAAATACAGCTAAGCGTGTTCTGCCTTCTTAGGAGCGTGTGCCTCCTGATGCAGGTCTCGATGCCCTGTGTTCTCTTTGCTGCTTTTCCATCAGAGCTTCGTTTGAAAGGCGGAACGAACGCTGAAATGGCACCACAGATCGATTACACAGAAATGGTAAGGGCTTTTGTAGTCGACAAACTAAGATGATGATCTCATATATTCCGAATCTCCATTCTCTATTAAGTATAACCTGAGTGTTTTCGTGTACATACCTGTTTATTTCTTCATGGCGTCTCGCTCTGTTGGGAAAGAGAGTAAGAGATTATGTTTACTTTAGACTGAGAGTTGTATCTTAGAACAGTGTTCATAGTGAATTTTTTGAAGACCTCAAGTGTAATTATTATATAAATTACTTATTATATAAATTAGATATTTTATATATACAGGAATTATGGTTTGGAAGAAAAAAAACTCGAGACAGGAATTAAATACTGTGTTTGATTAGAGTTGGTGAGAATGTGGAGAAATTGGAACACTTGCACATTGTTGGTGGGAATCCAAAATGGTGCAGCCACTATGAAAACCAGTATGAAGTTTCCCCAAAAAATTAAAAATAAAACTGCCATGTAATGCAGCAATCCCACTTCTGGGTATTTCCAAGAGAGTTGAAATCAGGATCTGAAAGAGATATTAGTATTGCCATGTTCATCGTAGTACTAGTCATAGTAGCCAACATATGGGAACAACCTAAATGTCTACTGATGGATGAATGGATAAAGAACATGTTGTATATACATACAATGAAATATTATTCAGCCTTAAAAAGAAAGAAATTCTAGAACATGTGACAACATAGATGAACCTTGAGGACATTTATGCTAAGTGAAATAAGCCAGTCACATAAAGACAAATACTGGCATGATTCCACTTACATGAGATATCTAGAGTAGTCAAATTCATAGAGTTAAAGAGTGGAATGGGGGTTGGGGGAAGGGAGAAATGGGGAGTTTCTGAGCATGGTGCATAAAGTTTCAGTTCAGCAAGATGAAAAAGCTCTATAGATCTTCTGTGCAACATTGTACTTATAGTCAACAGTAATGTATACTTAAAAATTTGTTGAGGGTAGATCTCATGTTATATGTTCTTCCCATAATAAAATAAAATTTTGAAAAAACGAAATACCATATTTTGACTATAAAATTTTAAAATAATAAAACTCAATATTGGCATGTTCTACAACTAGTGGGAAAGTAACCTTTTCCCCAGGTTTATTGAAGCGTTATTATTTATAGTAAAATTCACCCTTTTTAGTCCACATCTCTCTGACTTTTGACATATGTTTGTGAACAAGCCACCATAATCAAGATACAGAGTTACTGTAAAAAATTTCCTCATACCCTGTGCTAGTCAGTCTCACCCCCTAACACTGGCAACCACTAATTTCTTTTCTGTCAGAGTTTTGCCTTTTTTTCAGAATGTCATGTAAAAGAATAATACTTTATCTAATCTTTTGAGTCTGTTTTTTTCACTTGCCATAATACATTTGAATTCATCCACACTGCTTGTGTCAGCAATGAAAGCAAAGTAGTGTTCTGATATATGGAAGTACCAATTTGTTAATCCATTCATCTGTTAAAGGACATTTGGGATTTTTCCAGTTTTTGATGATTATGAATAAAGTCACTATAAACATTTACATGCAGGTTTTTTGAGTGAATGTAAGTTTTCATATCTCTTGAGTAAGTACCTAGGAGAGGGATTACTGGGATCTAATAGTAAGTGTATGTCTAACTTTATGAGACACTGCCAGATTGTTTTGGAACTCAAAAGTGTCTGCATTGTTTTTGCATTTTCACCAGCGCTATACGAGAGTTTCTGCATTCTCCCTAGCACTTAATATTCTCAGGGTTTAATGAAAAAATTTTTTTTGCTATTTTAATAGGTGGTATAATCTTTTTAAATTCAGTTTTTATAGGATCCATAAGGAAAGTTAAACTTATCTCTCTTCACTTAATCTCATGTAAGGAAATGACCCTAATTAAATATTACAAAATGCAGCAAAGGATAAATGTTAACATTTATTTGAATAGAGCATTAATACGATAATTATTATATCGTATACGTAAAATATGTAATACTGAAAATTTGGAGAATGATTAAATAAATTATGCTAGAACACCATGCAGTCATCCAAATATTTAGGAAGAATTTTATGATGTCGGGAAAATGCTTTTGTTTATAACGTTAAATAGAAAAAATAAGGAGAAAACATTGTACATATAGTGAGATGTCAACTGAATAAAAAAATTGAGATAGCAGAATGGGCCATTGTTCACCAGTACCCCTAATTTCTTACAGTGGGTTGCATTGAGAAGGGTCAGGAAATGCTGTCCTCTGGGCTAACATAACCACTGGGGTCACATATCCTGAATTGCACCTTCTTTTTTATTAGGTAGACTGGCTCAGCCCTAATTAAATGTGAAAATTTTAATTTTAGCTATAAGTCAGTTATTTTATTTGAAACATAGAACTAGCCTACACATTTTTATATCACTGTTTATGATACCTCATTACTAGCTCAAAGCAGAGCACTTTTGTGTAATAAATATACTTGTTGAATCAGTAAATATTGGTGGTTAAAGTAACAATAAACTGATTTTTCAGGTTTTCAAGCCAATTGTTGAAAAATTTGGTTTCAGATTTAATTGTGACATTAAAATGAGGTAAGTTACTTATTTCTTAGCCTTTAGGCCCACTATTTGTGGTAAAAATAGAAAAAATAGACCTTAGAGAACTATCATTCTGGAGCCCACACATTACCTTACATGCGCTTTCTGGCTTAAAAATGATAAGCAGTAGAGGCATGGGGACTTGAAAGCAGCTACATGTGATATTCGCTTATTTTGGAGGAGAAATATTTTTAAGGAAAGTCTACACTGAGACATCTTCATATCTTTCATTATCTATGCTCAGCATAGATTGAATGCTTACAGTGTAGACAACTGGAGTAGGCACTACAGGGTCATAAAAGGGGTCCTCTCCCACAATGCAGTCAGAATTATTTTCCTAAGAAACGCATCTGGCTTATTTCTCTTTAAGGCTTCCCTTCTGTCACATAATAACAAGGCCAGAGTTCTTGATGTGACATTTAAATGCTTTGAAATCTTGTTCCAATTTACCTTTCTAGCTTCCTACCCTCTCCTCTCCTTTCAACATACCACATATTCTAGCTACGTGATTACCTGCTAGTCCCGTCAACAGACTTTGTGCCTTCAGACTTCCATGTCTTCGTTCATGTTATTCCACCCCTGCTCTCCTAAAAATTGGAAATCCTCCATTTTTCAAAATGAAACTTGTAATTACTTGTGTGAATTTCCATGAGTGTGCCTCAGTTAGAATTCATGTTTGTACTTCTGTCAAAGTCCTTACCGCTGAGTTGTGTTCTGGTAGGTTGTACGTGGAGCCGTCTCTCTACCAGATGGGGGGTTCCTGGTGGATAGGCACACTGTCATTCTCATCTGTGTGTTCTCAGCATCTTCTGTAGGACACTGAACGTTATTAACATTTTATTAGTGTTCAGCTATTTAAGTATTCATATTGTTTATGGAGCACCTAGTATGTACCAGACATTGTTTTAGTCCCTGGTATATAGCAGGGACAAAGTAGCCAAAGGCCCTGCCAGCAAGCAGCTGATATTCTAAAACAGCCCTGTCAGACAGAACTTCCTGCACTGAGCAAAATGTTCCCTGTCTGACATGGTAGTCACAGCCACACACGACTGTTAAGCACCTGAAATGTGACCAGGGAGCTGAGTTTTGAATTTTATTTAATTTAAATTTAAATGGTGACATGCAGATTGAGACTACCACATTGGACAGCACAGGTCTATAACATTATTTGGAAATTTCAAACAATTATGTGGTTGGATGTCATTCATGTTATCTTATGGTAAATACTGAGCTTTATTTTTGTTGTGAATCAGTTTGTGTTTGTCATACTTTTCATAGGGGCTACTACCCAAAAGGGGGTGGTGAAGTGATCGTCCGAATGTCACCAGTTAAACAATTGAACCCAATAAATTTAACTGACCGTGGCTCTGTGACTAAGATATATGGAAGAGCTTTTGTTGCTGGTGTTTTGCCGTTTAAAGTAAGTTGTTTAGATGGTCTTAGAAATGTGTGTATGTCTCGGTAAGTATTGTATCTAAATTTTGAAGTTATTGAAAGATCTTAGTTTTTAAATAAATCTTTTTATTAAAGTTTTTTCTTAAAATTCTGTACTCCCTACTCTTAAAAATCAAATTTTTATATAATGCATGTAAAAGTTATTTTATTTGTCTTTGAGGGCTTGAAAACAATTGTAAAAATAATAATTTATTTTATTCTGTTTTACTGTTTTGCCACAATAGGTAGCAAAAGAAATGGCGTCGGCAGCTGTCAGGTGCATCAGAAAGGAGATTAGGGATCTATATGTTAACATCCAGCCTGTCCAGGAACCTAAAGACCAAGCTTTTGGCAGTGGAAATGGAATAATGTGAGACAATATACTTTTTCCTAGACATTGGTTGAGAGCCCCCAAATAATTATCTTATTTAAATGAAAGATTTATATTTTTTTAGTTTAAATTTATAGTTTTAAGAAGGTAGATTTTAAAGGACATTAATACCCAAAACAACAGCATGATGAATTAAGATAATTATTTTATTCCAAATTTTATTCTGAGGATGGTTTGCCTTCATTACATTATAAGAGCCCTTTTCTTTATACAGTGAACTTAGATGTTGAAGCTCATCAGAAAGTAGCCTTTGAAGCTGAGCCTAAGAGAAATATTGCACTTGCTTTTCTTACTCCAAGTGTGAAATCAGTTTACAAGCAGATGTATTAGAAATGGCAAAGAGCTTTTTAGAAAAGAAATATAGCTATTATATTAATCCAGTTAGAAGTTATCTATTTAAGTGTTTTAAAAATGCCTTAATTGATTTTTTAATGTGGATATTTAAATTTTAAAGTCTTTTTCAGTTTTTCTTAAAGGGTTTAAAGTAAATGCATACTCTACATAATGTTATCTAAAACCTAAACATCTCTATAGGAAGGCTTTTTCATTAAGATAATCATAAGATATTTATAGTACAGTATGCCAGTGAAGTGGTATCTTAATGCTGATGACATAACTTCTGGGAGGGCCATTCCTTACCTGTGAGTGGATTAGAATCAAGTGTGACTTGTTTGAAGTATTGAAGGATGAAGACGGAGAATGCTAATCATGTCCCCTCTCTGTATAAAGAATTTCACTTTTGCAAAGTACTAGCCAGATCTAGTTTTTCGTGTTTAACAGTCACTATTCTCCAATACTGTATTTGCATGTAATTTTAGAATATTGATAGCATAGGTAGTAATACTTTTTTTTCTTATATAGCATTATTGCTGAGACATCCACTGGCTGTTTGTTGGCTGGATCATCGCTTGGTAAACGAGGTATAGATAAATGAAGGGGGTATACAGGTCCCAATGCTAGTGTAACATTCTTTAATCATGTTGGGATGAGAATGTTATAGAATAATGGATGACAAGTTTAAAAGGATACAGTTAACGGATTCTCTTTCAGAGTCAATTAAATTTTTAGTTTTTCTCCCAACTTTATACTTTGAAAAATTTCAAACTTATAGAAAAGTTGAATGACTAGTGACTGTCCATACACTATCCTCCCAGATTCACCAGTAGTGTACATTTAGCTACAAGTCCTGTGTGTTTATGAGCCATTTCAATGTACATTGCAGGGATACTGAATACTGTAGCATGTATATCCAAAGGACAATGCCTGTATAATCAAAATGCCATTTTTACACCCAAAGAATTTATCTATTATATTCAGACGTAACCACTTCCCTCAAAAATATTTGTTAGAGCAGTGCGGGATTTTTTTTTTTTTTTTTTTTTTTTTTTTTGAGTACTTACAGCATTTGGTTATCATGTCTGTTTAGATTTTTTTTTCTTTTTGACTATAGAATAGTCTGTTCACCTCTTTTTTTTCCTTTCATGATATTGACATTTTGAAAAGTCCAGTCTATTTTCTCATAAGATTTTCCACAGTTTGGGTTTGTCTGATTGTCTCATGATTAGATATAAATATTTGCAGATGCTAAGCTCTCAGAAGATTAAATATACATGAAATCTTATCCTAAAAGTCCCATTGGGTGAGTTCAGAGGTGTAAAGAATGTTATACCAGTGCTAACAGGGATATATTAAATGTTTCACATCTTAGTAATTAATTTAGTTTTTCTACATTATGCCTGTCATAGGTGTAAATGCAGACAAGGTTGGAATTGAAGCTGCTGAAATGCTATTAGCCAATCTTAGACATGGTGGTGCTGTGGATGAGTATCTGCAAGACCAGGTAATGACACTTACAGGATAAAAACCTTCGAGCTTATTAGATTTGAATATTTGGTAATTTAATTAAATATGAACTTTAATCACTCAGTTTCAGACACTGATTGGCATTTCCTAATTCAGTTGGTTTTTAAAGTATTATTCTGGAATTTATATTCCTCAGATTTCAGTCCTCATCTTACTTGACCTGACTACAGCATTTAGCACAATCAATTACTCTTTCATTCTTGAAATACTTTCTTCACTTGGTTTCTGAAATACTGTTATCATTTTGTCTCACTGGCCATATATTCTAGTTTCTTTACTAGTTTGTTATTGTTGTTTTCATCTTCTCAAATTCTAAATTTTGGAGAGCCCGTAGGCTCAGGCTCATGCTTCTTTTCTGTATCTGTATTCATTCCTTCAGTTATTTTGTCCCATCTCTGGGTTAAGTACTGTCTGTATGGAAGCTGACAACTTCCAAGTTTCTATCACTAGCCCAGACTTTTCTTTTAACTCCATACTCATTATATCCCTTAATGCCTGTCAGCATCTCCACTTGATGTGTTATAGACCTCTCAAACTTAGCACATCTACTCACATTGAGAAATACTAGTGAATATTTCCAAAAAAGGTCTTTTTAAAGTCCACTCTTGATAGATTTTTCTTTCTACCACACTTTTCTCTCCTTAATCTCAAATCGACAGTCTATGTTTAGAAACGTATTCTTCAAAATTTCTCAACCAGTTTCTTAAGACAGTTTCCCTTATTTCTAGTCTCTTCCTTCTTGCCCAGGTTTACTCTACACTCCCAGTAATTCTATATTGGATGTATTGATTTACCTGTTAAAATGTTGTAATTTTAGAGAGTGGAGGAAGCTTGTCATTATATATACCAGCTTGTAGAGATATTTGGTCTGATTAAATATATTAACTTTCAACTCTGTATTTTATTCTTAACCATTAATTTAGAAAATTCTATATTGAGGACTGCTGCTAAGCATTTCTTTTTTTTTCAGCCAGCTCCCCAGTCCTCCTCCCATCTAGCAATCACCAGTTTGTTCTCTGTATCTGTGGGTCTGTTTTCATTTAGTTTGTTTCTTTTGTTCCTTAGATTGCTCATATAACTGGAATCATATGGTATTTATCTTTCTCTGTCTGACTTATGTAACTCAGCATAATACCCTCTAGGTCCATGTCAAAAAAAACATCGCAAATTTTTTTTTTTTTTTTTTTTATGGCGGAGTAATATTCAATTGTATATCTATACCATAACTTCTTTATCCAATCATCTGTTGATTGGATTACTTCCATATCTTGGCTATTGTGAATAGCGCTGCCATGAACATAGGGGTGCATAGATCTTTACAAATTAGTGTTTTGGTTTTCTTTGGAAAAATACCCAGAATTGCAATTGCTGGGTCAAAAGGTCGCTCTATTTTTAATTTTTTGAGGAACCTCCAGACTGTTTTCCATAGTGGCTATACCAATTTACAATCCCACCAACAGTGTACTGGGGTTCCCTTTCCTCCACATCCTTGCCAACATTTGTTGTTTTTTGATTTATTGATGATAGCCAATTTGACATGTGTGAGGTGATATCTCATTGTGGTTTTAATTTGCATTTCTCTGAATGTTACCTTGAGCATCTTTTCATATGTTTATTGCCCATCCGTGTGTCCTCTTTGGAGAAATACCTATTAAGGTCTTCTGCCCATTTTTTAATTGTGTTGTTTGTTTTTTTGCTGTTGAATTGAATGAGTTCTTTATAAATTTTGAATATTAACCCCTTATCAGATGTATCATAGACAAATATCTCCTCTCATTCAGTAAATTGTCTTTTCGTTTATTGCTGTGCAAAAACTTTTGTTTGATGTAGTCCCATTTATTTATTTTTTCTTTTGTTTCTGTACCACACTTTGAGTGACACGGATTTTCATTTATCTTAAGTCTTCCAGAAACCTAAAGAAATAGAAGTTATTTTAGCTATTTTGATTTCTAGTAGTAGTATTATATAGAAAGCAATAGAATTTTAACTCCAAAAAGTAGTAAATATTTTTATTTTTATTTTTTTCTATAGCTGATCATTTTCATGGCATTAGCCAATGGAGTTTCCAGAATAAAAACAGGACCAGTTACACTCCATACACAAACAGCAATACATTTTGCAGAACAACTAGCAAAGGTGAGTATTCCATCAGAAAGAGTAGTTGGTTTTTATTGTAGCCAATTTGGGGTCAGATTTTAATAACCAGAAAACTTAATCATAATCATAATTGCTATCACTCACTGAGTACTTCCTTTGTGGCAGACGCTGAGCTAACTCAGCAGTTTATCAGAATCATCTTACTCTCTGCATGACCATTTTAGGTGGCTATTTATTATTATTCCTATTGTACATACAAGTAAAGTGAGGCAGAGAGATTAAATTAATTGCTCAAGACCACATGGTTTCTCAGACCACATGGCAGAGCTGGACTTTGCGCAAACCCAAGAAAGCATATATTGAAACCCATGTGTGGTACTGCCTTACAAAGTAAGTAAAATGTTTTGATGAGAACTGTGAAATCAAATCACAAGAGATTTGTAGCTGGCTGTAAATTTAAGTATTTGTATAAAATTTTTAAGTATTTTATTTTTTTGTGATTCCGTTGATAGAATATTTGCTGAAATTCTAATATTTGCCGATCTTCTTTAAAAGAGTGGTTACAATTTTTAGTGAAAGAAGATTTAACATTATATAAGCTCCTATTTATACCTTGTCTACAGAATTCTTAATTTAAAAAAGTCATCAGCATGTATATTTCACCCATAATCAATATAATTTCTTTATAAAAAATTTGGAAAATAAAAGAAAAAACCTGCCCATAATTCCCTCTTTCTAGTAAAACCAATGATGACATTTAAGCATTTTTCTCCTCTGTTTAAATTATTTCTCTGCATTTTTTTTACAGCTAATGCACACAGTTTCATTTCTTGCTTTTTTCAGTAATGTAGCATATTTCCATTTTGCTATAGTCTTATTATGTAATTTCATAAAGTAATATAAAATTTGTAGCTCAAAATTTTATGAAGGAAGGAGCTGACCTTAAGCATTTTTTAAAATTATTAAAGTAATGCACACTAGTTAAAAAAATGAAGTATTGCAGGGTTGTACTAAGCACAAAGCCACTGTTGCCCTACTCCTAACAGTTTATTTGTATGATTCTTAATATATACTCTTTTTGTTGTTATTATTAGAAAGCACAGGTAGATTTTGGTTAAATTGTAGAAAATGTCTGAGAGGAATTGAAGACAAATTATATTTGATGGCAAAAGAAAATTAACTATTTTTTACTTTTATACTTATGCTAAACTTATATTCATTATAGTCTTCACTTTTCATAGTATTTTGCATATGGTAGACAACTCCCATGTTGTTTGAAGTGAATACGTAGTGCAAAGTGCTGTGAGCTGGAATTGATAGCTGTAGTTTCTTGTTCAGTTTTGTTGTGTTTTAATTGAGTGACTTGGGCAAGCTGCTTTGTCTTCCGGTGACTTCGTGCGGATAATTCATCTGTAAAATCAGGGACTGGGGCTATATAGTCCCTAAAGGCTCCTTCCAACTAGAAAGTTTTATAATTTTTCAGTAGTTTGGAAATGATTTCCATAATTGTTACCTGTGTCCTTATTTACATATCGCTTGTAATTTGAAAAAATATATGTCTATAACTACATGATAATTTGGCTGTCTAGCTTACAATTCAGTGTATACTCATTCAACAATAATTTCCAGGGGCCACTATGTGACAGCACACTGCCACAAAATACTGAAACTGGAATAATTTGTGAATATTACTGTTCAG